AGGCTCCTTGTCCAACCCATACTCCAACCCCAACATCTAATACATCAGTAATCAGCTATATCAGGTCTGATTTACTGTAGTCGATAGGCCGTATAACATTGGCATTTTTTATCAATTCCTTGATGTTAATAAAGGCTTGGTCTTGAGCATGGGTCCAGACAAATTCCGCATTGCTGGTAAGGTTTGTGAGTGGCACTATCACAGTGGCGTGGTGTGGTAGGAACTGAAAGATATAGTTGACTAGTCCTAAGAATCGCATTAGTTTCTTTTGATTTTGGGGTGTTGTCCTTTCTGTTAGGCAGGATATTTTTCCAGGGGCTGTATGTATTCCTTCATTATCTATTACATGTCCTAGGATATCGAGCTTATCGGCAAACAGAATTGATTTGTTCCTGCTAGCATAGAACTTAGCTTCCCTTAGTCTGGTACAAACCAAACCTATATGGTAGGCATGTTCTGTTTTGAAGATTGAGAAAATGAGAATATCATTGATGTAAACCCATATAAAATGGTAGAACTATTCGCTTAGGAGGTTTTCTATAATTTGCATAAAGATAGCAGGTATATTCATATCATCTTGTAACATAACTCAGCTAATGAAACTTCCGACAGGTGTTTTGAAACTGTTGTAGCGTTCGCTGTCTGGATCCAACTTTGTCTAGAAGTAGACATCGCTTAAGTCAATCTTCCTTCAGAATCTAGCCTATCCAACTGCATTCAGGATTTGAGTGTGGTTTGTAATAGCGGAGCTGACCATAACCGTGTTCTCATTTCATAGTTTGAGCTCAACCAAGGGGCGGATTCTTTTGCCATCTGCTTTGGGTTGAACAAACATAGGTGCGGCACCTGGTGCTTCTGCTCGGTAGATGACTCCTCTTTTTTGTTGTTGGTTTATCCAGTCACATAGTGGGTTTTTGTATGCATCAGGGATGGAGTAAGTAGGTTGGTTCTTAAGATTAGAAAGGTCTCGAAGATGGATGTGGTGGTTCACTTCCCTCATAGGCGGTAGTTCTTTGGGAATCTGATCAGGAAAAACATCAGAGTACTCATCTAATAGGTATTGGGTAGTTGCTTCACAGACTGCGGCTCGGTACTTTCCACTTATTGGCTTGCATGAGACTCGGACCTTCTGATCTGGAAAATCGATGGTTGATTCCCCGCATCTGATTATTGCTTTGTAGCAGTTCAGGAATGGCATTCCAATTAAGGCATCATATTTGGCTAGGTTCCCAACTAGCATCTCTTGGGGGGGTAAGACAGTGGAACCAAGTTAGATAGTTGCTCTACAAGTTTTATGGCTAGTGGATCGTGATCCTTTTACTACCATATTGACTAGTATGAGATGGTTAAGGTCTCGAGTTGGGAGTCCATGGACAGAGACAAAAGCATTGCTGATCATGTCTCTTCCAATTGCACCAGTGTCGAATAGAACGCAATCCTTCTTGCCATTGATCAGAATAGTATCTTCTAAGCCAATATGTGTCTTAAATGTAGTCGGAGGTCAGACACTGTTGCATTCCACATTGATATATCCGATATGGATCTCCTCATATTCCCTGGGTTGGGCTTCATCACTATCGCTCACAATATTGTTGGCTGATGCCTCTTACTTTATTGCCTTTCCTTTTCTTTTCTTTATGGGACAGTTCTTTGCTATGTGTCCTGTTTTTCCGCATTCAAAGCATTCTCCTTTCTCTCATCTCGATTCTTTGGAGGATTTCGTTTTCTTCTTGAAAACCCGTAGGGTATCTTCTTCAGAATTGCTAGAGGGCTTATATCATTGTTGCCTGTTGCTGCTAGAGGATGTCTGTATTTTGTATGCCTTGGTTTCATGGAGGATGGCATCCTTTCTTTCTGCTCTCGCGACTATTTCTGCCATACTATCGTCAACTTCCTCAAGCGGTTCTACCTCTTGTTTGGAGAGTAGAGTGCATGGAATCATAGAATCGTCACTTAAGGATGTAGCTGGAGATACTTCCTTTCTTCATTCGGTCTTTATACATCATCAGATCCGTAGCTACATCTGTGATTCTCTTGACATACATTCCATTAACTTGGTGGAGCTGGTTGAATTTGTTGTATAGGAGGTCATTGATGATAGAGGATTGGAATCAGCCTTTCAGATAATTGAGAACAGTGAATCCTCTTAGTCCTTCATTTCCACTGTATTCCTTATAGCATTGGTGGTATACATCAGTTGTATTTCCTTCGCAGAATGATCCAATGAATAGTCCAGTTGTAGAGTCTTCTACATCTTTCCCTTGTAGGAAAAGGTGGTGTGTGAGTTCAGTCACCCCTCGATCAAAAGCTTCAGGTTTGGGGTCTTTTCCTTCTCCTGTAAACTTCGCTGGAAGGTGGAGTTTGAACTTAGGGGGTTCAAATACTGCAGGTACTTCCTCTTCTTGAGGCCTAGCCTGAGACATTCCTCCTCCTAACAGTCCTCCTCCTATACTAGCCATATCTCATTCGCTACTAAATTCGGGATCGACTGGAGGTTCAAAGGAGGGTTTCTTTGCTGGAGTAGAAGGGAATTCTCCTAGGTGTTGTGTGTCTTCCATGTTTGCAGGTTCTTCTGGCTCCTTAGCAGAGCGTCTGGGATGTTTCTTTCTTGTAAGGTCCTGCCATGGGATTTGCTTCCCACTCCTGGTCATCAATGACTCTATGTTGATATTGAGATGAAGCCGAATGTGCTGTGATTCTGCTGCTTCTCTCCGCTAGCGTTCTGAGGTAGATATCGATAGGTTGATTAGGCCTAAATCTGAGGACAGGCTCTTAACCACTTGCTGAGGTTAAAAAAATGTAACGTGTTCGCAAGGTGCTAATCACGCTATCGGTAATAGATACGATAGTTGACAGGTAGCCTGCTCTTTCAGAGAGGAGGTGAGAGCTGAGAACTAAAGGAGGCTTCGAGGGTGTACTGAGGAACAAAGAAGAAACCATTCAACCAAGTATATTGAAATACTATCTGTCAAAGTCTGCCTTTTCCATCATGGAATCAGGCAGTCTTTAAATACACAAATCTGTTCTTGTCTAGCATAAACAAAACTTAATCAAAGGTATCAATCGATACACTTTGGTAAAGCCAATTAAGTATCAAAGCGATACTTAAAACAACACATAAAACAAAACCAAGTATCAAGCAATACTTAAAACAAACCAAGTATCAAAGCGATACTTAAAACAAAACGTAAAATAAAACCAATAACCGAGTACCCGTACCGGTTACACTACTCCTACCTATATATGTGAGGCAGTCCCTACAACTATACTGGTTTAAGCTATGTGAACTGTGGTGACTCCCTTAATGCCCACTCACAACTCTGTTCCACCTGCTACAAGGAGGTCCCTATTAGATAAGATGTAGATGATGAGGAAGACATAATCCTTACTTGTATTAAGAGTACTAGGATCCATTACCTAGAAACTGTCCTAAGTAGGGTAACTCCACTCCGAATCAGAATCTCTGGTCTCCTACACGGTTACACCCCCCTCCTGCCCTCTTACAATGGGGCCCACATGTCATCATACATATATATCTCAATCTAGCTCAATTACAGTATCACGTAATTCCTCTCTAGAGGTCATGTGTTCAACTCCTGTTGTCATCAAAGTTATTTCTGGTATTGAACAATTTTCTACTAATACTACTTGTAACTACAAGGCTCTCTGTACAACAACCAAGGACTTGCGACCCTAGGATTAAGATTCTATCCTATAGAAGTGCTTCTCCTCTATACAAAGAAGGTTACTGGATAGAAATCTGTAAGTTGAATCAGGAGATATTGAGCTTCAAAGTTGGCAACTTAAGAAAGTTGCATACACAACTTTGCAGAGTTGTTGGTCATGGGATTATCTGCCAGTCTGGTATAATGGCTACCTACAGATTAATAGAAAGTCATTTGTAAGATATCAGTTGGTTGGACCCTGAGTTATGGAGGTTTAAAGTTTGGCAACCTAGGAAGGTTGAAAATACGACTACCTCTGCACATACAACTCACAGACAAAACTGATCATTGTATCAATAAGGAAGACAATTGGAGTCAACTCAGTTCACTTGAGATCTAAGGCCATAAGTCAAATAACTCTAAAGATAGGATAATTACTATTGGGAACAGTATAGTTCCTAATTAGTAAAATAGTAATTACTGAAGAGAGTATGGTGGTTTTCAGGGTCTCCAGGTGTTTGCACCAGTGAAGAATACCCGATATTGTGAGTTATAACCAGAGAGGTACATAGTTTGTATAACAAATAGAGGTAGTCCACAAACACTCAAACACGGAATATAAATATCAAAGTGTTGTCCTAGCTTTTAGACATCATCAAGCAACAGAGAAGAGACCTTAGCAATATAATATTGTTCTTACGATTCTATTCTACTTTACCTACTTCACCTTACTCTTACTGGTCATAAATGAAACAAGTATATTTCGAGCCTTCCTAGACAATCTCTGTCTACAGAAACGAATCTTGGTTGGCTTAGACAACTCTGAGTCTATACAGGTTGTCTTCACATAACAACTTGATACTTGATTTTCATAATTTTGGTTATGGTTTATGTATGAGTTTCCTTAACTTGAGAACTAGGGATTGCCTACTCCATATATTGTTATTGAGGGGATGAGAAGTTTCTTTGCTTGTTGGGTTTTTAGACCATACCGTAGGGTGCATGCCATGGATTTTCCTGTAGTTAGCTACAAACAAACCGTGGATTTAACAAAAAAAAAAAAAAAAAAAAAAAGGTGGTACTTGGGACCCGATAAAAAGAAATATGTTAAGTTACCGGCAGGTGATATTCCTGTGCCGTGCCGCATGATACCTACCAAACAGAGAATACCTAGTCGATATAAAGGGATTCACATTGCGATATGCTCATGATAGAGATAAATATTTGGCAAAAGGGACTAATTTGTGAGTTAAGTTACAGTGGTAAAAGATTTATATTACAGGTCATGGGATCGTGACAAAACCTGACTCACCAATAGAAAAGAAAACTAAACCTCATGATCACAAGTTTTTGTTTATGTATATAGTTTAAAAATTACACTGTCTGCCATCAAAAGGGTTATGCAGGGAAAGGGAAAGAGGAGTAAGAGAGAGGAAAAGAAAGAAGAAAATAATGAAGTAAGGTATCAAAAACCCTTGCTACAGTAGCCACACAACGCCAATTAATGACAACCCCTTCCCTCCCATGCCGACTCGAATCTACTCATTACTCCTCACTCCTCCCCGGCGCCTTTTGCGCCTCCCGGCTCGGCGTCTTCGGAGTCTTTGGCGGGTCCCTACTCGGAGTTTTCGGCGTCTTGGGCGCATCTCTGCAGGGGGTCTTGGGAGTCTTGGGAGTTTTCGTTGGCGGCGCCTCCTTAGTCGGGGTCTTCGGGGTTTTTGGCGTCTTTGGGCGTTCCTTGCTTTCTTTGCCTTTGCCCTTGGTCTTCTTGGTGGTGCCGAGGTACATTGCGCCGAGCTTTCTCAGTCTCTTCAGCTTCGATTCATCTTCCGCGTCTCTTTCTGCTGGGGTTACGGGGCGCTCTAGGTCCCGGGGTGGTGAGAATTGCGTGCCGTAGGAGCCGAGTGCCGGGCCCTTGTTTGGCTGTTGGAGGATGCGGAGCGTGATTTGCCAGCCGGGTTCTGTACCTTGGTTTGTGGCGTTTATCCAGGGGCAGTACTAGAGATTGTTAGCACATGCACTATAAATAAATAAAGATGATGGGGGCAAAGTACATCACGGTGCTCCCCAATAACATCCAATCTGCAAACACTCGCCTCCTCCTCTTCATCGACTGAGTCGAAGATGGAAACGGCCTTCTTCCTAAATAGCCATAAGCCTAATCGCCTAAAGCAAGCTGAACACGTAACGAGGCTAGGGATTCCGGGGTCTTCGTTCTGCCAGCCAAATAGCGCAAGGGTAAGGGCTCCAGAGTGCTGCTCTTCTACTGAGAGCGTGTTCTTATGAATGGCTTCTAAGATGTGCTCTGGAAGGTCGGCAGTCGGGTAGCTGAGTGACGGGGGGATTTCCGGACGGATACGCAGGAGAGAAGAGTAACGAGATATGAACGAAGGGCGGGAGATGGAAGGGTTTGCGAGTTGGAGACGGTAGATAGTATCTAGAGTTGCCCACGTCAATTTCCGTTCCCAGGAAATGTTGGAATGAAAGGAATGAAACGAGAAGGAACGACCTACCATCACAGCCACGCTTCTTCCAAAGACACTGTCCCTCATGCTCCGCGACAATCATCTCCTTGTACTTTTCCACCACCGCTCTAGCTACACCCCAGTTAGTCCCCCTCTCCGTTGCAACGCTTGGTATTGTTAAACAAAACTCACTAATATCAGAATCCTGCTCCTCATCCAACTCAACCTTGACAACCACCTCCCTCTTACAGACCCCACACCGGACCCTATTCTTGTCAACACAGCTCCATCCTCTTCTCGCCCACTCAACCTCATTAACATCTGCCGGTTTAGCACTCCACTTATCCACAAACCTATATGTCCTCAACCTCTCCAAGAATGCATTCCGGTCCCACGGCGAGTAAGTCGGCATCTGCTGAGAGGAAGTTGTAGAAACAGTGGAGCGGATCGATCCCGTTGGCGAGACCGCGCGGACGCTCGGTCTTGAGCGGTTCCCCAGACCGCCCAAGCGGCGTTTCTTCGCTGCGTCATCTGCTGTTGGTCCAATGAGGGCGACATCGCTGTCATCGAGGGCGGCAGTAGTGGTGGTGGGGAGGTCTGTGGATTGCTTTGCTGGTGTGTTGGGCGCCGATATGCTTGTTGATGGGGCCGGTGGGCCGTTTATTAAGTTGTGGAGCTTGCGTTTTGTAGAGTAAAGCATTGAAGTGAGGGTTGGGGCCCAGGGGGCGGTGTTTTGGCGGTGGTGGATGATTGTGTGATGGGTGTTTACAGAAGGGTCTTGGTTTGTTTTCGAAAAGCGAAGCTATGACCACTGTGTGTAACCGAGCTAGGCTATTTTAGGACATCACCGACTATCACTCGAAACAGGACCTAAGGGGTTGTTGCTTGTATTGTACGATACCAGCACAGTACATGGGGAAGGTGAAACGGATAGAGTAGGAAGACAATGGGCTCCAGTTCGTGCAGAATCGTAAGTACAGTGGAAACAGGAGGCAGTATATATTATATGATACAAAGTTGAGCTCTGATAGAAATCTAGAGGGCCGTTCGGTAGCCAGCGTCGGCTCTGCCGGGTTGCTTAGATTGGGACGTTGCAGCCAATCAAAGGGAAGGAGGGGTGACCCTCTGAGAGTGGTCCGGGCTATAGAAAGACTGTGTTTGATTTCTATTGAAATCTTTTAGGCAGAACTGTATACTGATGGCTCTATACCCTCTGCTATCTCGGCCCCACCACCGGCCATTGCGCTAGCACAGGGGGGCTCCATTGCGGATTTTTATTCGGAGACAGGCTCTGGTGAGCAGACAGGGCAGGTTTATTCGGGGGCTGCAACGGTGGTTGGAGTGTGGGCATGAGAAAACTAGATTAGGGTTCTGAAGTGTTGAGAGAAGCTTATATAACCTTCTCCAGCACACAACGGAGTGTAAAGGGTCCGTCGCCGACTCGAGTTTGCCAATAGGGATGACTCTAGGATAATATCTCATGCCGGCCAGGAGAAGCGTGATGCCAACCTTGGATTCTTTGGACCAAATCCTCATAGCCTGATCCATCGCCGCTCGGGAGTGCATGGCGTACCTGGGCATCGGCCTCCATGCTCTGCAAACGCGTAACCTCCCGGTCGTCACCGTAAAGCGACTTCTCTCTCGAACAGTTGCGGCGCGGTTGGAGTATGGTGCGAGGCGCTTAAAAGGTGTGCCTGAGGGGTGCATTTTTGTAATGCCTGTTTTTGATTAGGTTAGGGGGTTAGAAATGTCAATCGTTTTTTGAATAGTAGTGGTTCAATTCTCCTAACAGTTACTGGCAATGTTTTTTATAGAACTTTCACCATAAATCTGAATTATGATATTAGATGTAAGTGTAGTAAATGTAAATTGACAGAAAACTCTATTAAAAAAAGACTATATGTGGATACAAATTGAACATGTAATCTTCGAATATATTTTTTGATATTAATGACCCTTTAACCTAACCAAAAACAGGCATTACAAAAATGCACCCCTCAGGTATGATACACCTTTTACGAGTAAGCTCTTCGCACTATACATCATCCAATGCTATAAACGTAGGTTCCCCTAATGACTCTTGAAAGGACACCTCCTTGGCACATACACGCCTCTTTTGTGAAATGGAACGGCCTCTCTCACTATATTTCCACTCTCTCCATGTATTTCTGGAATTGAACTTGTATATCTCACCAAATAGCTGTAATTCGAGAGCTTTGGCTGTATCTGTGGTTACGGGGCTTGGATGCCTGGACCGAGTCCGTTGCTTTTCATAATCTCAAGATAGAGCTTGCAAATTGCCCCAGCCTAGAGTTAGGTTGCCAGAGAGAATCGAGTGAAGCTCTCGCAGATAGAGTGACGGTATCCAGGATGGGGGGGAGGAGGGGGTGTGAATCCCCCGTAAGGATTGCGGAATCCGTTGATACGATTATTATCATATTATTCCTGATGTCATGGATGAAGGGTGGTATGGTGAAAGAATGGTCACGCCCAGGGTTGAGAGTAATGTTTATCATTGAGACCAGGCAGTCTGGATCAAGCCGCTGAGCCATATTTGCTGGGTTGATTGTTCAGGGGATGGGATTATCCGTAGCTGATGGAAGCCACTGGAGAATTAGTAGGATAGCGCGTATGAATCTGATAGCCCTATTATTTGAAACCCCATTCTAACTTTCGATTGCCAGTGGAAAGCATAGTGAGCACGGAGGTTCTGAAGGCAGGCGGCCATCATAGTGTGTTTCGCTAGGTTACCCCATGACCACAATTACTCTATTACTGATATAATGCGGTGTGGATTATGATATGAGGTAATTACATTACTATTATGATGCCAAAATCGTGACATAAGGCCCTTACAAAGTCCCTCACTAGCAACTACGGCACCGTAGGCTAGTGCATCGCACGTATTTATTTCATCTCTACGTTGCCATCATATTATATCACTCGCAATGATAGGCCCCTGGAGGCTTCGGACTCATGATTAACTGTAGGATGCTGTGAAATATAACCTTGCACATGCAATTCAGTCTCAGGAAACACGCTTTATTCCTAGCCCATCACGCCCACAAAAGGAAAGGCTTCCAGAACCATCGAACAAAGGAAACATTGTTGAAGTTTCAAAATCCTCGCAGTCCACCGCGTGAACTTTCGGGCACAAGATAGCACTAACATCCAGCCTTGAAATAGAGTATGAGAAAGGGAAAGAGAAGAATATGGAAGGATAAAGGGAAAGAGGGGGGGGAGGAAAAAAAAAGAAAACATTTGGCCAATATCCCTGGGTATACTCATACTTGACAACGTGCCAATGACTCTATTCAATCCTCTTTTTCCCCTCCTCCAAGTGTACGAGCCTAATGCTACTTGCGCCTCTCTCATGCCCACTTTGTTTGCCAACCCATTTACCAATCAAGGGATCCTTCTTCGCCCTATTTAACGCATCGCTGTAGCCCTCGATGGCAAATCCTGGAGGCGAAAGCTTAGGCCAGTTAACATATAGTAAAGCATATTTCAACATGAATTGTGCGGCTAGAATAGCAATTCCGGCCCAAAAGAGTACAAAAAGTTTAGTGCTGAAACGAGTGCCGGACCTGCCAGTGATATCCGCATTTCCACCTCCAGAAGCTGCAGGATCTGGGCTAGGGGAAGCATTGAGGTCGGGAAAGAATAGCGCGGCAAAGTCAAGGAAGAGTGCTCCCATAAGAATATATGGCACACTTTGTATTATGATCGGGCGACGGTCAACAAAGAGGAGAGACGACAGGGAAGTCGAAGGCGTGTAGTTGCCAAGGAAGAGGTCGTAGGCATCTTGTCGAGGGCCATCTGCAAAGTTGTTGCGGATGTATCGGGTGACAGAATTCATGCCATCGGCAAGGGCTCCAGCCTTGGTGCGATTTCCCGTTCGGGTAAAGTCGGTTTTGAGAGCTCCGGTGCCTGAATAAGCACGGCTTACTACATCGGCGTTGTCCGCCCATGCTGAAGGATGTTAGTTTGCTTCTCGTCATTAGTTGGGGTGAAATGGTTGGCTGTGCTTACCGTTCCTAAACATTGCCTCGAAATTCTCGAAATCGGCCGTGTTCTCTCCCTTATCCAGAATGCCAATATCCATTAGCTGGCTATTGAGCGTCCACCTCGCAAGCATGCTTTGGACCACGTTGGTCCTATCGAGACAATCCATGCAATTTGTCCGCATAACGCTACTTTGGTGCTTCTTTATTATAGAGTTCGAAGTTGTTGCGTTTCCCTCAACTGAGTGGTAATAGCCTTGGTCGTACAATCCGTCTCCCAGGTTATCCAAAAGTGCCTGAGCCCTGTCCCATTTCATCCCTCGGCATTCGTGATGAAAGTCAAAGTAGATATAGTGTAAACGATCCATCAACTTATTCGCTCTCGTAGATTCGATGGTGTGAAACCGCTCTGTTGTTTGTTCAGAGCCCTCCTTTGACTCTATGGGCGAGGATACTAGCTCCTTGACGGCATTTTCGTACGCCGTCTTTACCTCTTCCTCCCTTCCGGACTGGTTGACAAGATTGATCAGATAATTATCACCATACAATTTGATCTGCTCATCGAAGTGCTTTTTTGCGGCGATCAACGCTAGGTCAACAGACCTCACTTTTAACTCCGGAATTGGGCGAAGATTGATAACTTCTGACCAGTATACCGGGACGCTGCCTCGTGTTTGAACATAACTGAAAACCTGCACCTGTTCCTTACTTCCAGAGGAGATGGAGCTTGAATCGTAGCCAGCCAACCCACCAGCGGAGTCACCGATGACGATAATCTGCTCTGTTTCGTTGAAATTTGCTACGTTGCCCGATTCATCTATCCCACGAGTAAAGTACCGAGTCCCTGCCCTATGGCGAGACTTTCTTGTGATAAGAGCAAACGTCAGGGGTGTGGACTTGATGGTTGTAGTTGTGATATTAAGGTATCCGAAGAAGACGGGAAGAATGTAAGGATCTACAGCCTGGTGAGAGTTATGCAAACCGATAAGATCAGTTTGCAGGTGCCTGTTCCAGAAGAACCGATCGTCGGCCTAAAAATTACCTGTCAGCTCAAAATGTCATGGATATATGCACGGGGAGCACGGATCAATTGTGGAACATCTGCGGGGACATACCCTTTGCCAAAGTGGAAGTGAGGGATCTGCGCTCGACTGTCGCTGAAAGCTATTGGTCAAGTCGAAGGAGTAGGAAAAGTACATCGGACCGGACCGAAGATGGGCTGTGAGCAACTCGAGATAAGTATCCTCATCGGGGTCCTAAAGCAGGGTTGTCAGGTTTGTCAGTGCAAAAGGCCTAACAAGTTTGCTATGATACCGGTATGATGGGCCTAAGAGTTGGGGGGTTATTAGTAAAGGGTATGTGGAGGACATACGTGTAAAACTCTCTCCTGCAATGGCAGGAACTCGGTTGACTCGATTTTGTAGATGGCCTGGCCACGTATACGCCCCACCTGAGCAGCTTTGGTAATGATAACGATGTATTTGTCTGACAGCGCACCAAAATTTAATGAATGAGCTCAACTCAACCACAGAATATTGTGAAAATGAAACCCCATCTACAAAGGGAAACTAGTGAGGAATATCCTACCAAGGCGCAAATGGACAATTCCCAGGATTCCAGCAATAGTGACCCTCTTCCCACCCATGGTATTCGGGGAGTGGGTCATTTGCATAGCACCCGAAGGCCTGGCGACAACAAGGGCTGGTGCATTTGGGGAAGATGGAGAGCGAAATGTGTAATGGGAAGCAGATGCTATGATGCTGATATCACGGAACGGATAGTTTGTTACCGACATGGCGAATGACGGGATAATTTGGTTGGGGTTTTCAGAAAAATGTGAAGCTAGCAATATTAGGAAGGAAAGAGGAAGCTGGTTCCAGCGAGTGACAGGGACACAGCGATACTGAAAAGCGAGTGGAGAGGTTTAAGTGATGGAAAGGGTTTAAATGAGAGAAGGGAGGAGGGGTAGGGGGGAAAGGGAAATGGAGAGAGAAAGGGATTGTTGGAGCTGTTGGAGCGGGGGGAATGAGACAGAAGTATGTATTGGGGGAGGGGGGAAGGCTCTGGTGAAGGAACAGCGAAGACCAAACACTTGGACCAGTGGTAGTCCAAGGAGTCTAAGGACAACCAATCTTTGGCTTTGCTTCCGTTGCCGAAGGCATTTCAGGGATTTTGACTTGCCGACGTCGGCTGGTAGCTAATGCCTGATTTGGAGCTAATCCTTGATCGAATTTCCGGTGATCATAATGATCTAATCAGATTCTCAAACTAGGTCTGGAGGTATCATATATCATATCATAATTACCGGTATGATACCGGTACGAGTACTCGAGTACCGTAGACTGGTTCTGTGGCTTGGAGGCTCTGTCTGAACCCCTGACAGAACTTTTGTTCGGGGGCCTGATGCCTTGCCTTGTGAGCTACCCATACCCGTAATTTCTATGATACGATACCGGTACCCTTTTACAATCATCTTGTCATACGCCACTCAGAGAGAGTTCTACGGTATCCATACCCCATTTTGCACCCGATCCAGGTACACCCCCCCAGGAGAGGACAGGTCGAGAAAGGCGTCAAACTTTCGCGAGAAGGAGCTTCGGTCATTACCGTACAACTCCCGTCATGGCCGAGGATATTCCCCCAGGTCTAAACGACAAATACTCTCACCATGTTGCCATTCAGATCTCTCGTCAGCAAAACTCTCAAACCGTTAATGACTACCTTGCGCGGAACATTGTTAAGATAGCTCGCGATCAACCTGGTCCTAAAACTTTTATTTTGGCTTGTAAGGGGCTCGGTCGCTATCCTGACGATTTCTTGACTGAAATATTCGAAGAGGTCAGAATAAGGGATAGGTATGATCAAGTTCACGGAAAATCCGGCCTTAGCGAATCTTCAACCTTCGGTGCACCAGAAAGAGCTACGGACACAGGTAGCAATTTGCCGGGAGGTTTGCTACTTGCACGGAAGGGGGATAGGGGTGGAGGCAATGGAGAAGAGGGTGGGAAGAAGGAATCTCGATTGGGATTGGATAGGCTTGCGAAGAGAATCAAGCTGGATTTAGCCGCAGATGGAGAACCCGAAGGCGATCCAAAAGAGAAGAATGGTGATGAGAAGATTGAGTTCAAGAAACCCGCTATACCGATTGGAGGACGACATATCCGAGAACGGCGGGTAGAGACGCCGTCTCATGGCCCAGGTCTTTCGCAAGAAGCTCGGGAAAGACTAAACGCCCATCGTGCAAGGCGTGGTGGTGAGGGTGGGAGAGACGACAGGGGCGGTGATAGGAGGGGATATTCGCGAGATTACTATCCGAAAGATTTGAGAGATCGCCGTGACAACTCTAGGTATACACCTCAGAATCTCCGCAGACAAGACCCGACGCCTTTACGGAATGTGGATGTACGGTACACGGAGCGATATGCGAACGCCCGCCCTTCAACATCACGCTCATCGAGGTTTGGAAACGCCACTCCTCGCATGCCCAGTACTTTTGACCGCGACCCTGAGGATGTACCGGAGATAAATGAGGAAGACGACTCAGCTCTCGACCGAGATTGGTATGCGTCTGACGAACTGGGGCATGCTTTTGGAGATGAATATCACAATCCGTTTGGATCGGCCGATAATTCCTGGGCAGATCAGCAGCGTGAGCAGGCCCTTCTTGAGAAAAAGCAGGGGAAGCGCATGTCTGCCCGGGCGCAACAGAAGATGAAGGATGTTGATGCATGGGAGACCAATCGAATGCTCACATCTGGAGTCGCCCAGAGAGCCGATTATAATGACGATGACCTTGACGACGATGAGGAAGTTCGAGTTCATCTACTCGTCCATGATTTAAGGCCACCCTTCTTGGATGGGCGAAGGGTATTCACAAAGCAACTTGATCCTGTGCCTGCAATTAGAGACCCCCAGAGTGATATGGCTATATTCAGCAAGAAGGGGAGTTTGCTGGTCAAGGAAAGGAGGCAACGAAGGGAAAGGGAAAAACAGGCACAAGAGGCTACGAATATTGCTGGCACGGCACTAGGGAACGTGCTAGGGATAAAGGAGGATGATGATGGGGACAGTGCGGCGCCCACTGGTGGTGGTGGGAAGGAGGAAACCAGCGGATCGAAGTTTGCTGAGCACATGAACAAGCAAAGGCCGGGTGAAGGGAATAGCGAGTTTACAAAGAGCAGGACTTTGAGAGAGCAGAGGGAGTTTTTGCCTGCCTTTGCTGTTCGGGAGGATGTCTTGCGAGTTATCCGGGATAACCAGGTAGTGGTTGTAGTCGGAGAGACTGGCTCGGGAAAGACAACTCAATTGACTCAATTCCTATATGAGGACGGATACGGAAAGATTGGGATGATCGGATGCACGCAACCTCGAAGAGTGGCGGCGATGAGTGTAGCAAAACGTGTGAGTGAGGAGATGGAGGTGAGATTGGGCGGCTTAGTTGGATATGCTATTCGTTTTGAAGACTGTACTAGCGATGAAACAGTTATCAAGTGTAAGTTTAGCAACTGTATCCTGATATTGTCAGTCTGCTTACGTGGAGATTATAGATATGACGGATGGTGTCCTCCTCCGTGAGAGCTTAGTTGACCCAAATCTAGACAAGTATTCATGCATCATCATGGACGAAGCACACGAGCGTGCACTAAATACCGATGTGCTCATGGGGTTGATTAAGAAAATACTTGCGCGTCGTAGGGATTTGAAACTGATTGTTACCTCTGCCACCATGAACGCTGAGCGGTTCTCTCGGTTTTATGGCGGCGCACCAGAGTATATCATCCCCGGGCGCACATTTCCCGTGGATGTGCTTTGGTCAAAGTCCCCTTGCGAAGATTATGTCGACGCCGCTGTCAAACAGGTGTTGCAAATTCATATTGGTCAAGGAGTGGGCGATATCCTTGTGTTTATGACTGGGCAGGAGGATATCGAGATTACTTGCGAAGTAATTGCTGAGCGACTCAAACAGCTGAATAACCCTCCAAAATTGAATATTCTTCCTATTTATTCACAGATGCCGGCTGATCTACAAGCCAAAATATTCGAGCGGGGAGAGGGCGGAGCGAGAAAAGTAATCGTAGCCACCAATATCGCCGAGACCAGCTTGACGGTTGAGGGCATTATGTACGTTGTTGATGCCGGATACTCCAAGCTAAAGGTATATAATCCACGGATGGGTATGGATGCATTACAGATTACTCCGATATCTCAAGCCAATGCTTCGCAGCGATCCGGGAGAGCTGGCCGTACTGGACCGGGAAAGGCTTATCGATTGTATACCGAACAGGCCTTCCGAAACGAGATGTACCTGCAAACGATTCCTGAAATACAACGCACAAACCTCAGCAACACAGTCCTTATGTTGAAGAGCTTGGGAGTCAAGGACTTGCTGGAGTTCGATTTTATGGATCCCCCACCCCAGGATACAATGACAACGAGCTTGTTCGACCTTTGGGCTTTAGGGGCCTTGAATAATGTTGGTGAACTTACCTTTCTTGGAAAGACGATGGCGAGCTTTCCAATGGACCCTTCGTTATCAAAGCTTATCATTATGTCTGGAGAGTACAACTGCGGCGAGGAAATGTTGACTATTGTCTCCATGCTCTCTGTGCCAAGCGTGTTCTACCGCCCGAAGGAGCGGCAAGAGGAGTCCGACCAAGCGAGGGAAAAGTTCTTTGTTGCAGAGTCCGACCATTTGACGCTATTGCACGTATACACTCAATGGAAGTCAAACGGGTATTCTGATCGATGGTGTATTCAGCATTTCTTGCAGCCAAAAGCGCTAAGAAGGGCAAAAGAAATCCGAAACCAATTAATGGACATCATGAAGTTTCAAAAGATGGAGTTGAAGAGTTGCGGGACTGATTGGGATATTATCAGGAAGTGCATTTGCTCCGGATATTACCATCAAGCAGCTAAGGTTAAGGGCATTGGAGAATATACGAATCTGAGAACCAGCGTCACTGTGCAGTTGCACCCGACAAGCAGTCTATATGGACTGGGCTATCTGCCCGATTATGTTGGTGAGTAACCGAAGTCCACCAGCTTTGAAATAAATGTAACGGCTGATGTCCTGTAGTTTACCACGAGCTCATCCTTACGAGTAAGGAGTACATGTCGACCGTGACTGCGGTGGATCCGCACTGGCTTGCAGAGCTTGGCGGTGTTTTTTACAGTGTCAAGGAGAAGGGCTATTCTGCTCGGGAGAGGCGAACAACGGAAAACGAGATTAATAAAAGAATGGAGATTGAGGCGAAGATGGCAGAAGATAAGGCAAGAGCAGAGGAGGACGCAGCAAATGCCCGTGCCGCGGCATCAGTCAAGAGGCCAATGACTACCATGACGCAAAAGAGAATGGGTACACAGACTGGGGTTGTTAAACGGCCGAGCACGCCAGCAATGAGGAAGAGGGGATTTTAGCCAATGGGTGTAGGATTCTCAAGGTGAAGGTTGTATGATAGAGGCCAAAAAACTAAGTTTATAATTCATTTTGTGTAGAGTCTACTTTGTCGACGCTTCATCATATTTGGCCCTGGATTTTTGGTGACAGGGGTGGCACCTTGCGCTATGATATCTACGCCTTAGCCTTCCAACTACGAATACTCGTAGAATATTTTTTTAGGGAATTTCTCGGTATGATACGGTATGATATCGAGGATGTTCCCGCAGCAGGGATTCTCGCCAAGCGTTGAGGCTCCCCGGTTCCGCTCTACTGTAGTCGCCAGTTCTCGATCGAGCAGCAATGCCGGTACCGGCAAATTTATCGTGGATGATCGGCAACTGGTCTGCCATCTCTTTCCTCCCCTTTATTCCACTTCATCCTATGCTCTGGACAAAAAGGACATACAACACCTCTCCTGCTGCACCATGTCTCCCAAAAGCCCAGATCCCAGGGTCTTACGCTTTTCATCTACCTCCTTAATCTTCTTTTCCATTCTCTCGTTTCGACTCCTGAACGCACTTACTATTCGGACCTTCTTCCAGCCAGATGAATTCTTCCAGTCACTGGAGCCAGCATGGAAAATGGTATTCGGCGAGGGTTGGCTTACTTGGGTATAGAGTATCCCCTTCTGCCCCCGGGGAGAAAGCTCTAACAAGTGAATTAGGAATGGAAGAACCAATTGAGGTCAATCGCTCACCCAGCACTCTTCGCCGCGATCTACAAGTCCGTCAACTTTATTAGTAATCTCATTGGATTGCAAACCTCAACCAAAGCCGAAGTTCTAGCCGTTGCACCCAAAGTCCTTCAAGCGGTTTTTGCTGCCCTGGGCGATTACTTTACTGCGAAGCTTGCCGGGAAGCTATTCGGGGGCGCTGCTGGATGGACCAGTGTGCGTATATTATACCCTATCCGGCATTTTAGAAATGGAGAAGCTTATGTAAGCTGGGGGTAGGAATTTAGTTATGGTTCAGTGTTGGCAGTGCGTTCCATTTCTTTTGCTCCACCAGGACGTTCTCGAACAGTCTTGAGACGAGCATGACTACTACTGCGCTGTACTACTGGCCCTGGCCCCAGCTCATTACAAAGGAACGGGGTGCAAAGAGTGTTGTTGTCGAGGGGCAAATTGACCGAAAGTAAGCATTGCATAAGAGCCGGCCCAAATTTGCAGCTGATAATCTGTAGGGAACTTCAACTTTCGCTATTGTTTGCAGCATTTGCATGCATCCTCCGGCCAACCAATGTCCTAATCTGGTCGAGTTTGGGATTGTTCCTGATCTACCATAGCAGTTCTCGAGATAGAGTGCGTATTGTCACCGAAGTTGTAACAGTAGGGTGAGTTGCCCCGAATTAGCCCGCCGTTAGAAGGCTTGACAGCAGTTGGCTCTAACAAGTGCCTAGATTTACGGCACTGGTATTAAATGCCGTTGCCGACCACCAGTATTATGGTGTTTGGACCTTCCCGCCAATGAAGTTTCTTGAGTTTAATCTAGTTCAAAGCCTATCGGTATTTTATGGGAGCAACCCGTGGCACTATTACTTGTCCCAAGGGCTGCCACTGCTTTTAACTTCATTCCTACCAGTTACTATGTACGCTCTTTACTCATTCCTCAGTCGCTCCCTAATGGAGCATGGAACGGCGGCCGGATTTCAACTAGCTTCCACCACTGTTTTGGTAACTTCTGTGTATTCACTGATCTCCCACAAGGAGTTCCGCTTCATCTATCCGCTGCTTCCGATTTTGCACGTACTTTCTGCTGCCAAATTCGAAAATCTTAGTTGGCGGACCTCTACAAAGAAGTGGGTTCTGATAGGTATGATAGTGTTGAATATACCTGTTGCGTGGTATTCAACTCAAGTGCACCAGCGCGGTGTTGTTGACGTTGTGGAATGGTTGAGAAAAACTGGCAACGCTGATAACCCAGAGAAATGGAACAGTGTGGGTTTTTTGATGCCTTGCCATTCTACAGGGTGGAGAAGCTCAGTAATGGGTGATGGCGAGATGTGGGCGCTTGAATGTGAGCCGCCAATAGGGTATATGCTCTTTTATCTGTTTGCTTGAATTAACCGCTAACCTTGAAACAGCTTGTCATCAGAGGAAAGGTTAGCCTATCTCGATGAGGCGGATCGCTTCTACGCCTCACCTACAGAGTTCTTAGAAACCAAGTTCCCAACTCCCCCCTCAACGGGCAGGAATCCAATGAAGCGCATGTTAGAAGAAAAGACCCATCAGTGGCCAGACCGGTTGGTTTTCTTCGGGGCCCTAGAAGATATTATCAAGAGCTATCTAGGACCAGATACAGAGTATGAGGAGTGTAAACGATTCTTTAATAGCCATGCCCATGACGACTCTCGGAGGGAGGGAGATGTGATAATTTACTGCCTGAGAAAGGGCGCAGCAGGGGGCGCCGGATCTTTTATATAATCGCTTTGGGGCGGCTGTTTCTTTCCTTTTATCAGTCCGAGCTTTCGTTTAGTCTTCAAAAGCCTTTCTGCATTGATGGAACGCGGGCGGAATATATGTGGGTTATTACTGTAACTTGGTGGAATGAAAGTGAGGTGGGTAGTGGCTTTTTTAGCTGGCCCTATCTGGGTTACCGTATTGAGGTTGAATCAAAAAGGAACCTCCCATGACTCGTTCATGGGCATCACTCGCCTTTCGTTCAGCAACTTATCCCGCTGCACAAACAACAAGTTAATTGTGTAGACTATTTCCGAGACCCGCACGGAATCCTCGAAGCTAACACACCGCATCGTAACTGCCGTGCGAAAAAAACTGAAGTCTAGTACGTATCATAACTAGGTTCCGCGATGTTTAAAGCACATGGATTACCATAGTACAAGTTAACTCACTCAGTCTAGAAGCACCCCGGGGAAGAAAAACAAAAAATTTGGTATGATAACAGAACGAAGATATCATAGCTTGATACTTCAAAGCACCCTCCGAACCCTTCCAACAGACAAATCTCCTCCCCCCTCCTCCCTAGCCTGTTCCCCACCGCCGCCACCGGCGCTCCCTCCAATGCGCACACCCACCGACACCCCCTCCCTCTCCCGGTCCCCAACAACCTCCGCCGGCTCTGCCACCACCACCCCCCCACTCCAAAACCCCCCCTCCTCATACACCGGTGGTGGCGGCGCCTGTATGGGTGGATGCAAATCCTCCCTCCTCGCCCTCCCCCCCGTCCTACCCGTCCTATTCCTACCCCTACTCCGACTCCGACTCCTCCTACCCTCACCCTCAGCCCCACCGCCCCTCGGCAGGTAATACCACCGCCGCCTCAACCCCCGCGGCCCACGATACAAATCGCCCAGCAACCAGCATATAAAGAGCACCTGCACACCTAGCGAGCTCGCGCACACTATTAGGAGGGGCTTTTTCTGCAGGGGAGGGGGCAGTAAGGTTAGCGGGATTGTAGCGGTTGATAGGGAGATTTGGAGTATGAAGAGGAGCTTGGTGGGGGTTGAGAGTATGTGGAGGAGTTTTCGGAGCATTTTTTTTTTTTACCCGGTTTCTGCTTGTATGGCTCCTCGGTGTTGTGTTTAGTTACTGTGTGGGCTATTTGTATGGTATGGTATGGTTTGGGGGTTTAGGTTAGCTGGGTGCGGTGGTTTTGTAGGGAGTCTTTATATTTGGGTAGGGGGTGGATGGGTATGGAAGTTGAAATGGATTGTTCATGATAGTGGTGTTTTATGTGTTGGTCCTTGAAAGAATGTTGGTGAAGAATCAAGTTGTCCGAGTGATGTTTTGCGATAAAGTCCATGAACACATGGGTAGAGAAGCGAAGCTTGATGCTCTAGTCGAGATAGATTGGAGCATGTAGAGACTAATGGAGGCTATTAATGTTAATATTATACATGGCTAGCTTATTGGTCACACTCCTTGCCATAGCTCCTCTTCTTCCCTTCCGACGAGCCAATTCTATGCTCCCTCTTTTTGACCGTTCCTCCTCGCTCTCGGGTGGGGGTAGCCAACTTTACGTGGTTCTCTTAGGAGTCTTTGGCTTTAAGCAGCTCTGTGCTATTGACTAGACTAACCCCACTACCACCACTGCTACCAGAGGCTGGCGAAGCGGTATCATCCTTCCTTTTTAACCCTAGATTCCTTTCGTGCAGCAGCTTAGTCTCGGCTCTTCTTGGCTGCGGGATTGGTTCCCCTTCCGATGGCTCCCGAACGATGTGTTCCGTGCTTCTGTCGACAGACCAGACCACCTTTAATCTATCGAACGCACGCATTCCTTTTCTCAAAGTCCCTTTTATCCCATCCATAGCTTCCCACTCGATCTCGAACAGCCCGCTGTCCTCACCGCCTTCAAAGTATGCGTTGAACCATACGTGGGCGATGCTGGTGACCATGCTCCAACCATAGGCTGCGATGTTCCTCTTTTCGAAGTCGATGTTGATATCGTTCGCCGGCAAGATCACCGGGTGCTTCGGTTTGAGTATCGCGTTTCTGGAAGAGCTGGTCTCGTTGGAGTCCAGTGTGATTTGTTCCCCCCGTGTGAATGTGTGGTAGGTTTTGATTTCCTTGCCCTCATCCACAAAGCCTTGGATAGCTACGCGCACGCCTTCACGGAGACCGTGTATGTGCACTTCTTCTATCCGAATCGTCCGTTCTAGGTATTGTTTGTTCAACTCCCGTGCCCAACGTTCTATGTAACGTGTCCAGCGTCGTTGTGACGGGATACTCACGCCCTCACCGAAGCCAGGACGCATTCGCACTGTTGTGTAATGTTTCAGAGCGTCATCCGCGGACCAACCTTCTTCCCCGATAAGATAGGCACATGACATGGTACCGCTACGACCCTTGCCGGCTATCCACCCGTCAGTTTTGTGCCCTTCATTGTAGACAAACGGGGCGCAAACCTTTGCAATGAATAACGGCAACAGCATTCTCCCTCCCTTCTCCCTTCAAATGATTCCTCATACTCGCCAAAACAGCGGGCACAAGAGCAAACGGGGGCGGGTGATGATCCGGAAACGGGGCATGAAAAATCCTTCCGAATACATCCTCATCTTTATAACCCGTTCCCTCGGCTCTGAACTCCCAGATCCGCCAGCCTTGACCGTGTTTGCTGTCCAAGAACTTGACGACTTGATCGAGGGGGTTCCGATATGCCTTTTTAGGGAACTCTGCGGCTGGCACAGACATAGCAATTATTGTGGGCGATGTGCTAACATAGCAGAGGTCTAGGCCAGCTTCCCCATGTCGGAGACGGGGACCGGCAACGATGGATCGCAGGATAGAAGTCTACGTTGGGTTCGTTAGTCATGAGACAAATGGGAAGAATCCTTAATACCATATAGGGATAGCTGAAGTACACAGCCACTGCTGGTAAAAAGATATTGGTGAGCGTGAAAGCGGTAAGGCTAGAGTTTGTTGCTTTTTGAGAAGATATGGGGTCTGAGGTCATGTTGGATCGGTGCTATTTCATTCTAAGACTGGCCGTAACTCATGGGCATGGTATTGGTGGAACGGGGTATCATACCAGTAAGTTATCTGGAATAGAACACTGTGAAGACAGAGGGTTATAGGGGCGGTATAGATGGCTTTATATGATATATAGAAATGGCGCGGTGGAACTGATACAAGTGATCAGAGGGGGAAGGGTTGTCGGTGTTTGCAAGGAGACACCGTGATACTCTCGCTCCTTGGATTTGGGGTGCCTGAGACTGCCAAATTCGCGACTAGGCAGGCCAACCCCGCCTTGGGGGCATTCCAGGATTGTGAATGGTTGCTATGATGCTGAGTCATCTAATAGCCGGTTCCCCACCTATTTCGCTGTCGCTCATAGTCGGTAAAAGCAAGTGTGACGGAAAAGCAAGTGTGACGCGCCGTTTTTTTTTTTTTTTTTTCACTCGCAAAAACCAACCTCCTACAGAAATAAATACAATCAAACACTGAAGGGGAACAATATGTACTTATTCCTCTCGCTACTTCAGTCAAGATTTGAAGGCATTCTTTGTAGAGTATAAGAACACACTATCTGAATATGACATCAAAGGTGCCAAATACATCTACAATATGGATGAGCGTGGAGTCAGAATTGGCTATCCTACATGCAAGTGTAACAGGAGCACCCTCTGGGAAGATGGATCCCGAGGTTGCAACCGCACCAAGATGAATTCTCCTGCAAATACGAACAATTATAATAAATTTCAAAGTCTCAACGGTAGAGTTTGAAGAAACAAAACGGTAAAACTTAATATTGTTAAGCCACAGCTTTACTCAATTAAGTCCTGATCTTGAGAGGTGGTTGATTGCCAGAGTAGAGGAGAACTCACATATACTTAAGTAGATTCCATATACTGCCAGTTACTCCCCATCACTACTCTGCGTTGGTGAACACTGAACTCCTTTAGGCTGTCTAGCCAACCTCCACAGGTCAGACTAAAGATCCTCTGTAGCAAACTAGACTACTCCTTTAGAGATTGACTCCCAATAGGTGCCACACACAGTCAACTCTCCTAGAAGTAGGTCATCGTAACCTCAGACTAGCATTTCAGAGTCCTTAATGATTCTCTAATACTCTTCCACTTTCGGGGTAATGGACTTCTATTACCTCACCTAGAGACTTCCAGTAACTTCACATACTACGGCTAATGTCACGAATGTGGCTTAGCATGGAAAAGGTTTTCACGTGACACATGGTTATGAGTCACAGGTATGTTGTTGTGCGCATATAACTTATTGGGGTTATATGATTTGTTATGTGTGGGATTTGTGATGCTTTCGCACATGGCTCAAGTATGAGTCATGGGACGTGTGCTTGACGAGTATGCCTTGCAAGTGTGCCTTGCGGGTAAGCCTTGCGCATATGATTTATGTTTCGCACATGACCTCATTATGAGGTCATGGGTTTTGCGCATATGACTCGGTCGAGTCATATGACTTGTTTATTGCGTTATGATTGGTTTATGAGTTTTTGTACATGACCTCGCTATGAGGTCATGGGTTTTGAGCATGTGATCACTTTGGTCACATGACTAGTTTGTTATGATTTGGTTTTGCACATGTGACCACTTTAGGTCACATGACTAGGAGTGGGAAGAACACTATATAAGGAGGCCGAGGCGGCTGAGGAAGATAGGTTCTTCACGCTTTGTTCCAAGTACTTTTCCTCGTCCTTGCCGTCGCTTCGCCCCGAGCGTTTCTTTCGCCATCATGATGGGCCTTGATGTCTTGGATTCTGGAGGAGATATCTGAGTTCGCTCAGTAGTTCCTGGGGTCTTTGGTGTTGTGGTCTGTTAGGTGTTACGTGGCGGATAACTTGTTTGTGTCTCGTTTCGTTGGGTTGGTTATCTCACGATACTAGCACTGCGAGCACTTCATCATGGTCGCTTACGAGCCCCTTTTGGTAAAATGTCTACGGGTTCCTGTCTATCGTCTACTCGCAGGTTGCGCGTTCGATTGGGGGGATTAAACATTGTGCTTAGGGGGATCACCCGTGTCATTCTTTGGGCCAGCTCATGTCTTTTGTTGGGTTTTAAAGGAGCCCTTAGTTCTCGCGATACAAAACGCCCTTGGGCTAGACTGATGACCTTCCCAAGTATCAACTCGTCGTACCGGCCGCATCATTTCCTCAAGGGAGGGGGCCTCACCGGCCCCTCCCTGCCTCGTTACTTTATGTTTCTACGGTCGGAATCCTACGATGTTGTTTATCACTGTTCCCTTGGAAGTTTTGTCCTTGCGGCATATACAGTGGTTCAGTCAGGTGTCACCTCCTAGCTACGGTGGGGATGGCTTTGACCCTGAAAAACCTTACCCCCTGGAGTGGTTTTTATTTGCTGCCTGGGGTGGTGTGGGACGATTGGCTGCCGGGCACTCGCGTTGTCTGTGCGTCTGGGTGGTTCAGTTGTGGTCTGTGGTTGGCGGCTTCACCCATTGCAAGTGGGGCCTACCTTCCGTTTGTCTGCTTCTGTTCATTCGCCCTTTCCCATCTTGTCGCGTCAGTTGGGGATGCCTCTTGCCCGTTGTTCAGTCCGTACCTATTGCCGGACCTGTGGGGCTGGCTTTGGCTGGCTCTGCTTACTCTTTCCGACTCGGCTGGATTTCGGTTCGGCTGGGTTAGATGGTGTGGCTGGTGCCTGTGCCTTCAGGTGTTGGTGCTGCCTCCTTTGTGGCTCCCGGCTGTGGCTGGTGGGCCCCCCTCGGCTATATGGAGCTGAAGGTTGGGGCTCTGTTTGTGTGGCCAAGATCAATGGCTGCCTGGCGGGGCTGGGTATAAGCTGTCCTGTGGCCATCGGATAGTTCTTCTGTCTGAGGGGCTGGGGGGGCTGGATGGGCTCTGTGGCGTCTGGTGTGTGGGGCTTGGGGGGGGCTGATTGGGGGGGGAGAGGCACCTGCGAGCACCGGTCGGACATGCGTCAGGTTGGGCGATGTCTAATTAAGTGTTTCCGGACCGGTTTGGGCTGCTGGGCGAAGCTGCTGAGTGCTGTAAAGCTCCCCGGCGGACCGCCGGACTGATGGCCACCTGTGCGGATAGTGGATTGCGACCACCTGGTTGGACTTGTTTGGGTTCTGCGTGCTGGGTGTTGTGGAAGTTTGTTTGGTTTCTTTGGTTTGGCAATGGGCATGGCTGGCAGGGGCAACGCACCACGGGTGGGAGATAGGCCCCACTGACTATTTCGGTCTGTCACCACCTCTATGTATTTCTTTTGTTCATGTGTTTTATGTTGGGGAACAGGCAGCGGGTACAGGTCCTCCTCACCATTACGCTCCTCGGAGGCACTTGGCAAAGTGGGTTTATAGGGTCGACGGCCTGGCATGCGGATGCGAGAGGTGGACATGCTGGTCACCTCCTCTCTGCCATTGTGTCTCCTGTAGTTTATATTTGGTTTGGTTTGTTGTTGGTTTTCTACTGTGGTGGAGGTGTTGCGGGACGGTATTTAGACCGAGTGGTAATAGTTTTGATTTTGTTGGACGAGGAACCTGGTTGGATTGGTCTCTTGCTCGGCTTCGGCTACGCTTGGTGCTGGTTGGCTTCATACCAGAGGGGCTACGGACTCGGACCGGGGAGGGCGCTGGGTTGTTTGATGGTCTTGTAATTAGTTTCCGTGTGGGCATGACTCGGGGATGGCAGGTGCGGGACCATAGACTTAGTTAGCCTAGGATTATTGGTATACCGGTTAGCGGTATCCCTGTGCCGGCGGGGGCTCGTCATATGCCAGTGTTGGCGGTACGAGTTTAAATAAAATTAGATTGACTTCCAAGTACTTTTCCTCGTCCTTGCCGTCGCTTCGCTCCGAGTGTTTCTTTCGCCATCATGATGGGCCTTGATGCCTTGGATTCTGGAGGAGATATCTGAGTTCGCTCAGTAGTTCCTGGGGTCTTTGGTGTTGTGGTCTGTTAGGTGTTGCGTGGCGGATAACTTGCTTGTGTCTCGTTTCGTTGGGTTGGTTATCTCATGATACTAGCACTTCGAGCACTTCATCATGGTCGCTTACGAGCCCCTTTTGGTAAAATGTCTACGGGTTCCTGTCTATCGTCTACTCGCAGGTTGCGCGTTCGATTGGGGGGATTAAACATTGTGCTTAGGGGGATCACCCGTGTCATTCTTTGGGCCAGCTCATGTCTTTTGTTGGGTTTTAAAGGAGCCCTTAGTTCTTGCGATACAAAACGCCCTTGGGCTAGACTGATGACCTTCCCAAGTATCAACTCGTCGTACCGGCCGCATCATTCCTCAGGTAGCGGGGCGCTACCCGCCCAGCCCCTCTTCGTTACTTTTTCATTTCTACGGTCGGAATCCTACGATGTTGTTTATAGCCGTTCCCTTAGAGTTTTTGTCCTTGCGGCACGGTGATTCAGTCAGGCATCTCCTCCTCGCATTCGTGGGGATGGCTTTAACCCTAAAAACCTTTACCTCCTGGTGTGGTTATTGTTGCTGCCTGGGGTAGTGTGGGATGATTGGCTGCCAGGTACTCGCGTTGTCTGTGTGTTTAGGTGGTTCGGTTATGGTCTGTGGTTAGCAGCTTCACCCATTGCAAGTGGGGCCTACCCTCTGTTTGTCTGCTTCTGTTCACTCACCCTCCCCCTTCTTATCGCGTCGGTTGGGGATGCCTCTTGCCCATTGTTCGGTCTGTGCCTATTGCTGGACCTGTGGGGCTGGCTTTGGCTGGCCCTGCTTACCTTTTTCCCGGCTCGGTTGAACTTCGATTCGGCTGGGCTGGATGCTGTGGCTGGTGCTGGTGCCTTCAGGTATTGGTGCTGTCTCCTTTGTGGCTCCTGGCTTTGGCTGGTGGGCTCCCCTCGGCTATATGGAGTCAAGGGTTGTGGCTCTGTTGGCATGGCCAAGATCAGTGGCTGCCTGATGGGGTTAGCTATAGCTGTCCTGTGGCTGTCGGATGGTTGATCTGTCTGAGGGGCTGAGGGGGCTGGATGGTCTCTGTAGCGCCGGTGTGTGGGGCTTGGGGGGGGCTGATTGGGGGGGGAGAGGCACATGCGAGCACCGGTCGGGTATGCATCAGGTTGGGCGATGTCTAATTAAGTGTTTCTCGCCTGATGGGGCTGTTGGGCGAAGCTGCTGAGTACTGCAAAGCTCCTCGATGTCCCGGATGGTTGATGGCCACCTGTGTGGATAGTGGATTGTGACCACTTGGTTGGACTTGTTTGGGTCTTGTGTGCTGGGCTTTGTGGGATTTGTTTG